GGACCTTTGACTCTCTTTCCTTGTTATGGTGTTTTGAATGCTTTAGATTTCCTTTCATTTCAGATGCAAAAAAAAAAAAAACATTAGCAATGTACATATTTCTACATTTTTCCGTTTTTTAAATTTTTTTTAGGATTTCATGTAGATAACCTAGTTATATTTAAAGGCACGGTGATTCCTAACGAAAGGATAGCGGAAACACCTGGTAGTGTGGTAAAGTTTGGAGGCAACTGGTTTAACTGTAGGTTCTTTGTTTAATGCAAATATGCATGTTCGCATAAAAAATGTTGAAACTCTTAAACTATGGGATAGCCTAGGATATACTGATGTTTCTCGTAATGTTAAGGTTTACAACCAAATGGAAATCGAAGACTTAACCCGTGAACAGTTTTTTGAAGCGTGTGATTCGGGTTCTTTTGTATTTTGTATCCAAGAAAGTATTCTGTGTTGTATTGGAATGGCAAAAGGATTTACAACTCGTGGAACTTGTCTTGTGACACCTATAGAAAACATATAATAAAATCCCTGGAATTATCTGTGGATGATACTGTTTTTCTACCAGCTGAAACAAAGTTCCAATCAAAAATTGAATCAGACAAAATATTGACTGCTATTGCAGAGATGCAGTCCTCTCTACTAAAAGACATCGATAAACACATGGGAGAACAGCAGAAATATATCGAAAGACGTCTACAAAAGCAGCAGGAAGATATCAAGAATAACATTAAAAAACTGAAAAAAAGGAATGAACAAAATCCTTTAAATAGCTAAAAAAATGTTGCTTGAGCAATTTTTATGAAAGCCACATTAATACTATACATTTATTGACTGAGTTCGAGGGCAACATGCGTTTTGTCGGACCCAAGAACCAAACTGTCTGCCTGAGGCATTAGGCCGAAGGCAGACAGTTTGGTTTGAGGGTCCGAAAAAACGCATTTTGCCCGAGAACTCTGTCAATAAATGTTTTGTTATACCTTTCATTTAATTTTATAATTTTTGACATAAATGTTTTTGTACTATATTCCGTAATGTAACATCAGGTCTGTCACTGTTTAACACCAACGAATGAAAATGAGATTAAGCTCCGCCCATTCTGTGACGTAAGCGGTCCAACATCTCCCCGAGCGGTCCAACATCTCACTCAGCGGTCCAACATCGATTTTTTATGCCCGCTCAGCAAAACATTCAAAATGTTGGACTTTTTTTTCATATAGATTTGTATAGGGACAGTTTTTTAAAGGTATAACAAATGTAAGTAGTATCAAGCAGATTTTGTAATGTTGACCTTAATTTTTTTTCATATTGAACAAAGTGTGTTTAAAATTTGAATGTATGCCATATGTAAAGCATCTTAATTAATATTTTTGACTGGACTGTTTGATTCTGCAAAATGGTGTAAATTCACGTTTTTAATGGCTATTTCTTTATTTAAAAAATAAATTGCAAATACATGAACTGTGTATTATTGATGGATATATGTTTTTAACATGAATATAATATCCGTATTAGAAGGATACACACAATGATGAACATTGATGAACGATTCCGTCATATTTCGCTGACAATTGCAAAGAAAAAAAAGCTTAGAAGAAACAATATGATGAGAACTGCAACAAAACAAAAATGTGCATTAAATATTTGGCATGAAGTTCAAATTACTTGTTTCTTTTAACCAGACATGATAAGAAGGCATGAACTATCGGGCATTTATGCAGTCAAATTTATTAACATTACAATTCATAACTGGCTGATGATTGCATCTCTAGGCCTCCTCTTTATGAGTTATACTGTCCTCTTTTTGTTTTGAATGCTTTGTTTGTTTCAGCTACTGTTGTTCAAAAAACTGCAAATAATTGAATATCCTGGGCACCGAGTTCCCATTTTCCCCTCTCAATGTAACAAAGTCGTCTTCGTACTGTCTGCTTTTGGTTAGGTCTAGTTAGACAATTATATCCTCAATGTTGAGGATTTCTCTCCAAAACAAATTCTTTTGAAGACGTTCAATGTCTTAAGAAATATTTGCCGATTATGACCATGGCACCTGATTCCAACGAGAACCACATAGATATTGTCTTGCAGACATCCAAGCATTAATATCAACACAAGTATTTCTGTATACAAAATCAGAGCGTATTGCATCAAAATAATTTTGCAAATTACTTCTGACAACATGAGTAAATTTATGTGCTTTATTTTCATTGAAAAAGAAGTCGTCAATGATATTTAAAAGTCTGGACTTTTATTTATCGTGGGGAATAGTTTTGAATAATTTTTAAAGGGCTTAAGTTTAAATAAGATGATTTTAGTACACTGTAAAGTTATGTGATTTCAAATGTTCAAAAATTCATTTGAAATTTTCAGTATCCGCAGTGATTTACACCATTGCTCGAATATAATGTTGCATCGTACTCCTTCACTGATAAATAAAATGAATGTGACCTAAACGTAGTAGGACCAACGAGAGCTCGGCTTTCTTCAGCGCTGTTATTAGGAATGTTCTTATAAAAAGAAGTCTGTTGTTAAGTCGTTAACTTGCGAGTTTAAGGTCATTGGCTCTGTTGACTATACTTAATCTGAGTGAACTTTTTTGACGGTAGAAATGCTGCTGCTTCCTATACGTGTACCTCCATGTCAGCTTTACGACTCTTGCAATTGAGCTTAAATGAAATGGTCTTACTGTGTTACGACACATGAACTGGCATCCAGCTATTAAAGATATGTTAATTAGACTTTTTTTCAATTTTTAAACAACTCCTTTCGGTTGAAGCTTTTGAAAAATTTCATAATTTACTAGGTAAGTTTTGAATGTTAGAGTAAATTATCAATATAAATGGTTTCAAGTTATTTAAAACCATTCTTGTGTATATCAAATTGAGCAATTGAGCAATTAGCGATGACGCGACTCTAACTGCATACCTCGCAATCATAGATACTAATTGAGTAATTTATACTGTAAAAATATTATGAAGAGTCGATAAACAAATCATGTCAAAGACTGGAAATATTCTGTTACATGTAATTACAATTTGAAGTATATAGGATTATTGTACTTTCTAGGTTAGTCAAACTTTTGTAGTACTTTGAAGACCCGACAGTTTTAGTTGACGCCATAGTTATGATTCCCTAATAACTTAGACTCCGTTTTCTTTTTGTTACATTAAATTACCTGTTGTATCGCACTCCTGTATGTACTGCTATGATACTGAGAATAGACAATATTGGCCAAATAATGGTGACATTGCCATGGAGGAGTGAGCACCCGCTGTGTGTTCCTTGTCATGATTGGGAAATAACGGGAAAATCTGTCTTAATTCAGTGTATAAATAATGGACTAACAATTAGTATTAAGAATCTCAGTCAGTATTTGACTCAATGCTAATTTGTATTTGTTGACAAGGTTGGTGTATCTAATGTAAAACTTACGAAATTATAACTTAAATCGAAACAGCTGCTAATATTTTTGTATCTTCAACTTGCTTGTCAATAATTTACTTCATTTATGCAGAGCAGACTCTTTCGTATGAAATCAAATGAGCTTTATAATTTCGGTATGCACGCAATGAAGGTATATTGCTGCATAAGTAAGGGGAGTTGACGATAGAAAAGTATAAGTCGTCAGGTTTATCACAGAGCTTGGTTGAAAGATTAACATTAACGTCTTTTTTAGTAAATATAAATTTTACGGCTGTTAAATTATATTAGAATACGGAATGTTTGAATACTTGATCAATACATAGGGCTCATTTTTTCTTATTTTCTAAGCAGTTCTAATATTCCATATGTATCAACTTCTTGAATCCTTTCAATATTTGTATAAGACAAAATTGAATTTAAATATACTTAACAGAAGGTTTCTTTTTATGAAATTTTCATACATTAGGAAACTGAATACTTTGGTGATATGTTTGAAAGACGATTCATAAAAAATTGTCGGAAGTATATTATTTTTAAAAAAATCTAAAAATAATATTCTTCTTTCTGAAATTATTTGACGAATTAAGACAACTTACGAGGCAACAATAAATTTTATTGCTTTCATTTTTTTTTTATATATAATAGCATCAAAATATATATTGATAAACGTGATCTATTATCATTACTTTTGCAGATGTTATCCTATCGTCTTAAATACGTGTATTGTGCATTTCACAGAATAAGTTTGAAGAATTCGATAGATTATATTTATTTTTAAAAACTAACTTTCCGAACTTTTTAAACAATTATGATGTTTTAAAATGTCCTTATTATCAACAAGAATTTCTTAATTTTTTTTTTTCATTTATTGAAGATCACGTTACCACATTTCCAGAAAAAGAATTCGGCACGTGTAAATTCAAATATAAGATGACTGTATATTCCTTTGAACATTACATATGCAAAGGGGTAAAGAAAATGACATCGTTCAGAAAAATAGAGAGCCATTTTGATTTGAATTAAGTGTTATTTTTACAAACATGACACCACTTTGACGAAATAAAATCCATATATGATATGATATTATCATAATGGAATAACCAGAAAAAAAGGATGAAATTTGAAATCTGGTGAAAATAATGTCTAGATTTGTAAAACAAAAATCTTTTGCGGTGACAGGTGCTTTTGAGTGTTTTCATATCTCCCGTCTGTCATCTGACCGGGCCTGGATCAGTGACTGGGATAAGCTTATCTTGACCAATATAGCTGGGGATAAACTATATCAACTCGGAGATATAATGAGTAATCGTGCAGGAATCCATACAATAAATAATGATGGAGATTTAATTTTTATACACATGAAAAATAACATTTGCAAACTGTGTACAGTGAACAATATAATGCGTATTCATGTATTTCTAAAATACACGGCACCATGGAGACCACTGTGTGTTTACAGCTCCCCCTTCACTGGAGACCTACTGGTTGGAATGCGTAGTACCGATACACGTGAGGGAAAGGTAAATCGGTATAACTCCAAAAGAAGACAAATTCATGTCATACCTAACGATAACAAATTTCAGAAAATGTATATTAGTCCTAGCTATATTACTGAGAACCGCAATGGAGATGTTATCGTGTCTGACATAGGCTGTAATGCAGTAGTGGTGACAGACCGTCATGGTAACCACCGCTTCTCCTACACAGGTCCTCCATCAGAGTCAGGATTATTATTACCACTAGGAATCTGTACAGACGCACTGTCACATATCTTGGTGTGTGATTATAACAGTGAAACAATACAGATGATAGACGAGAACGGCCAATTCCTTTCAATAATTCTGACACATAAAGAAGGAATATATGGACCAGGGGGGCTGAGTTATGATGACAAAACTAATCTTTTATGGGTTGGATCGTTTGGTAACAACACAGTAAATATATTCAAATGCATGGATAGGGACTCAATGGCAGGTGAGTATTAAATGAATCACTTTCCCCTTTACCTTCTATTTAGGATCAGATTATGTACTGAGGCGGTTAAATTTTAAGCATAGAAATATAACTTTTATTGAGAAAAAATGTATGCGTACCTTTTCTGTATAATATTGTTCTCACTGTGGGTACCAACCAGAATGACTGGGGCTTTATCACTGTTGTATTGATGGATTCGAACTGATTTCATCCAGAATTTAAGATAATCTGGAAAATATTAGAAGAACAATTTATTAACATTCAAGCTTCACTATGTTTTAATCTACATGTATTTTGCTAAATATGTACTAATATTCACTCTGATATTGGTATTCAGCGGAAGGGAACTAAAACTATGTAATACTATGATATCTATATCAAAGTATGACAACTCTCTTCGCTTAAAGACTGGACTCTTTAAAGAAATGGACTGGACGATATTTCTATGATAAACTCTTTACCAGAAACCTGGACAGAAATACATTTAACATCAATAAATGTGCATCTATCATTCAATACAGTTTGACAATATGACAAAGGATATTGAAAACCCTAATGACATAATGTTTTATTGACTAAGGCATTTTATTTCATTGTGTTCTTCTTGACACTGTTTTTTGTTTGTTGAGACATAAAAGAACTTAATTTGCTATACCTCTGTTAAAATGTTTCCTACAATGTATATAAAGTTAAGAAGGTAAAAAAGCTATTTTTGATCATCTGAAAATTTCCACGCATAGAAAGTTATTCCCCGGAATATAGATTTTTCTACAGATTCATCGGAAAATTTTCATGCAATTTTGCCGCCAATTTTGATTTCCGGCGATGAATCTTTAGACTCATGATGTCATAATGACTTCAGTAGCATAGTGAGGTCATCAGGATTTCAGCTCATTCTTGCAGCTTTATTTAACTCCCAAAATGTTTTACTCCAAATAATAATATACATCATTATAATAAAACTTATACATCGGTTGTGACTTGGATATACCTATTACATCAAACCTTTGACAGGAACCATTCAATTTCCCGTAGCGGGTTTGATAAAAGAGTTATCCCACTCACAATAAGAGGATATGAGTATAATATATTTATAAGTAGCATGTAATATTCATTTCAATTTCCCCCACAAGATGTCCCACAAATGATTTCCATCCGTGTCGTTCCGCAAAGAACCAAAAACATGTTTAAACAATACAGATACGGTATACAGAGATTGTTTTCTGTAGATTTTTTATGTGCAACTTGAATTAACAGGGTAACATATTTACAAGTTACATGTGCTCTAGTTTTACATCACATTGTACTCCTCTTTATTTTTACTGAATTTTTGTAATAAAAAAGCATTCCACAAGTTTGAAATAGATCATTAAATAATATTAATTTTATTATTTCTAAATGATGCAAAATATCAGGTTGAATGTCTTATTTCACTGAAATTTCCTTTCAAGGGTATTTGGCAAAATGTTTGATAAATTAGATATAAATACTTTCAAAATGATATCGATTTTTACAAAATGTAAAATAAGAATTTTAATATTCCACAAAATATACTGTAAAAAAGCCCCCCCCCCCAAAAAAAAAAAAAAAACAAAAACAAAAACAAAAAAAACCACACACATATGTACTAAAAAATACTAGTAGATATTTTGCTTTTTTAATCTGAAAAAAGAAGACGTTATAAAAGATTAAAATTAAAAATAAAATAGAAAATCTTTACAGAGGGTAACTATACATATACAGTGATCTAATCATTAAACTTCAGAACTTCAGGAAGTTCTGGTAAGTCACATTAGACGTTCGTTGTTTTATGCAAGTGAAATGTGAGATACATGGCTAACTGTAGCACTACATGTATTAAGAATGATCTAATTGATATTTTAAAGTACCTTTGTAATTAACGTGAAGTGTGAAAAAGACTTTAAATTCCAACTGTGTCTAGAAGATAATTGACTGTGCAAGCCAATCAATGAGACGTAATGAGATTAAATTATTGCAGTTGAGCAGTTTAGCATTATTAACTAAAAACGGTACATAATTTTAAGGTTTGGAGGTTTATTTAATCAACAAAATATATATCTTTATAGCACTGGCAACGATGACCTTACTGTGGCGCTAATATTTTAACTGTGGTGGAACTATGGCGCTGGTTTTTTAACTGTGGCGCAAAGGAATTTAACTGGCGGGGCCGCAATGTTAAAATGCCCATGAAGAACCCTGGAATTATATTTCAAAAGAAATTTGTATCCTTAAACAAAATATAAAAAATCCAAAAATTTCTAATGCCTTAATCAAATTTCCCTGTCGATGGCCGTAGACCGGTGGTAATCTGTGGTGTGAGCGAAGCCCCAATGTCGAATTACATCGACTAGTAGTCCAAAAGTATCAGTCATATTATCCAGCTATGGGGTATACGATGGGCAACCATTGCGTTTTTTGCGAGACATTGCTAATCATAAAACGATGTTCCAGGGTAATTGGTCGATAAATAATACATCGCTCATACATTGGTGAACATCGTTCATACGTCGGTGACTTTGGGTTAAAGTTTGGTCGAACAACAACCGATGATCGACCAATGCTTGTTGCCCTCCACTTAACATCTCGATGACCTCAGATTTAACGGACTCTTGACGATGCTCGGCCATACATCGGCCAATCCTTGAAAGATGTGTTTATGTTGGGTTTGCGATGAGAAGCGATGTGGGCAACGGTGGAGACATCGCTGATTTTTAACTACAATCTTTTTTATCTCATCGTATACCCCGGTCCGTCGCTGGATAATGTGACTAATACTTAATGCAATTGTTTGTAAAACACATTTGATTGGCAAAGGTATCAGTCACATTTTCTAGCGATGGGGTATACGATGAGAAACCGATGCGTTTCTTGATTAAAATGGCGTGGTTGTCGGCAGGACTCCTACATTAATCGGACAGTAACTGGGGTCATTTGGCGAATTGGCGGCGATCATTGGAAGAAAATGAGTACGTACGAATGATGTTCAGCAATGTGTGATCGATGCAATATACATCGGTCGATTCTAATTAAGTATGTCACATTATCCAACAATAGGGTATACGATGAGAAACCGATGCGTTTTTTGATAAAAATGGCGTGGTTGCCGGCCGGGCACCACTAGTGATCGGACGGTGACTGAGTCATTTTTTGTGAATTGGTGGGGTCATCGGTAGGAAATAATTCGTAGTTAAAATTCAGCAATGTCTCCAACGATGCCTCACATCGCTCCTCATCGGCAACCCATTATTAACACATCTTTCAAGGATCCGCCAATGTATGAACGAGCATCGTCCAAATCCATTGAATCTGAGGTCATCGGGGAATTTAGTGGTGTTCAACAGATAACGACCGATCATCAGTCGATGTTCGACCAAACATTGGTCCAAGTTGGTTGTCCATCGTGTACCCCATCGCTGTTTAATGTGACTGATACTTTAAGGACTACTTGGCCGATGTGGACCGATGTTGAGGCATCGTAACACCACGAAATACTACCGATTACCACCGGTCTACGGCTACCGGCCGGGAAATGTGACCTAGTCATTACTCTGGAACATCTTTTTTATGATTAGGAAATTATTGCTGGGTCTTTTTAAGTCCAGCAAGCAACCAAAAATAAAAAAAACACATGTGTTGCCCATCGTAGACCAATAATTTATGGATTATTTTAGAATGGGAATAATTTATGTCTTATTTGGTATTTGCGACCGTTCGTGCCGATTTAAGGTCGCGAAAATCCGTTTTAAGGACTACGCTTACGCTTGCAACCGTTTAATGAGCCTGAATTGTCGCAAATACCAAATTAGAAGAAAGTTATTCCCTAATTTGAGGACATATTTGACCTTGCTATTGTGTATTGCCTCAATGTATCTCAAACAATTTAATCATTTCTACTTTTAATAGAAAAAAAACGACTACCTACATTACGTAAATATCTATAAATAGTTTTTAACGTTAAAAAAGATATTTTGCCTTTATATTTTTACTTGTCCAGGTATTGATGTGGATGATAATTTGAAGTGTAATTTTGAAGACAGTTATCTCAACCTTCAGTCTAATACCAGACATCAACAGATTCACAGAAGAGAAGAAATCAAAGATTTTTCCAATCTCAAATCATACGTTCATAAGCAGACACACATTCTAACAAAATTAAATACAACGCAAAATGGAAAAGAAGAAAGCATAAACAGTATGTATACTAATCTGTGCGCTCTCTTACCTCATCTTTCTCTATCTTCTTAAAGAAAAACTTTTAATCTATGATTGCTTAATGATGCAAACTTACTTATAATCCAACTTATTGCAAATACAGTATATGCCTATCATCCCAGCATATGTTGCAGTGTCGTTTCCATCTGTTATTTCATCTTTCCACTTGTACGTCATTTTTAGTCGTCTGAACGTTTTTGTAGTGTTCAAAATTATAACATGTTTTGACTTTCTCTCATTTTATTTATTTTTACACTTGCTCTTGTTCTTATACTTATAATCGTTTATTGATGCTTTTTACATTTAAAAAATTCAAATAAATTTCAAATAATTCTTCTCGAAAGTTCGTCTTATGGTGTACGTGTTCACCATATGAACAGCGGAAAAAAGGCTAATGATAAAGGCATTATTTAGTTCCGTTTTTTCTTATGTAAGTAATGGATATATGCCAAATACTGATCTACGAGGGCTGTTCAATAAATAATGTCCTTAACTATATGACATACATTACAGATATCGTATGACATTAAACTTGACTTTCCTTCATTTTTGAATCTTTTGTGAATTTATAAGAGTTTATGTGACCACTTTTCATCACATAGTTTCATCATGAGAAGCTGGGAAACAAGGGCTTTTCGAGACACTGCATTATAAATGAGTGGTAAAGAATCAGTAAACTAGGGTGAAAATAAAAGCTTCATTAAAGCTGCCGTAAAACTTGTTAAAAATCCCAAAGAAATATTAACTGAAATGTGTGACATTTACAGCAACCAGTGCCTGTTTTATAGGCAGAGGAGCAGGTAGATTTCAAAGATAAAAAAAATTATAATGGGCATAAAAAATGGGTACCCTCCTTGCCAACAAAAATTATAACAACTTATGTACTGTTCGCCAAATTTCAACAAATAATACTTAATGATGTATGATTGGCTTTAAAACACATAGCAAATTTGATAGACATCACATCGGGGTAATTTTCACTGTTTTTAAAAAACTTTTGGCGGTAAAAAAGCTTGATACTCAAAGGTCACCCTACATTTTGAAAAATTAGTGAAAATGACAGCGTGTACGAAATTATTAACAATTATTTTAAAATATCAGTAATTGTAGTTATCCACGTTTGTTTTAGTTTCTAACAGATATTGGAACATGAATCTATTGCTTGAAACCCTAAAAACAAAATTTACCATAAGATGTACTTGATAAAAACGGCGAATTTCTGAAAAGTACATAGGTATGCAAGAGCACAAAGACAGTATTACAAGTAATTTTCTTAAACATTAGTGGTAATGTTATTCAAAATCGTAATCGGAGAGACAGTTTAATTTTTGGAGGAGTCTTTATTTTATGGGAAAATAAAGATTATGTTTGCTGTCAGAATCATATTCATCGAAATCAGAGCCAGAATATGAAGACTCGTTGACAATTCACGCATTTGAATCTTTTTCTGCGGACGTTTAAAACGTCGCAGGATAAAATAATGTTTACACGTGGTTACGGAACCGTACATCAATTCCGATGGATTTCATAATTTTTTTAATCTGTTTTATACAAAGGCCAGTAGTATATACGTAACAAATTACATTCACTGGAAAGGACAATTTTCTTCAAATGACAAATAGTTTATGCCTAAAACGATTAGATGACAGACATCTGTTCATAAACTTCGAAAATATAAACATTATCTACCTTCTCTTCAGAAGAGCGCAACAGGGGAGATAATTCTAACAAAATCTAAATAAATAGTAAAATACGTTTTTTCACAGGAAATTCATTTAAAGCTTTTATAAAATTAGAAATAATTATCATTGTTTATATTTGTAAATATTTTACACAAAATTCATTAAAATTACTGTTAAAAGTTAAACTGATAAAATCATGAATTTTTCTATCATTTGAATATGAGGTAATTTCATTCCGATATCACTTTCCTGTCTTGAGAGTCCAAAGGTGGATTTTACACATTGTTGGGATAATATCTAAGAGATTCTTAAATGCACAAAATTCTGAAAAAAGAACCGTCACTTTCTAAGAAATACATCCTTGAATATTGACAAAAAATGAACCGTTATCATTTCGTAGCACCATGCCAATATTTGTGCCCTCTGGACTGCCTTCTATATAGGAGTTTTACAAAAAAAAAAAATGATTCCAACTTAAATTTACGATTTTCCCTTGAATATTGACCAAAATGAATTATTGGCTGTTACTAAAAATAAAACAACACATGCAAAAATAAACAACATATTTCTGACTCTCAATGGGGCTCATTTAATATGTTTAAGTAAATAATTAAAACTAGTTTGTTCTTGAGACTGCCTACCAGAGCATTTTTCTATATATCTGCATGGTTTTCTGGTAGAAATCTCGTAAAACATTACGACAATAAAGAAAATCACAAAGTTATAAAGAAACCACGGTCGAAACACATGCAGCAATATCAAATATCATAGAATATCCTGTGTCTGAAGAACAACATAAACTATGCCTTTGCTACATGTACGAAGCTATTTTATCTATGTATAGCATGAACTGTAGTAGGAAATGGTGTCATAAAAAACAACAAATGTTTACTGTTTCTCAATTGACGTAGGTACCACATTTGAAAATGTGGCATATTTTGACTTTTTCGTTGTTATATAACCCATATAAACATTTATACTTAGCCTGGCGAACAAGACAGTATTCAAGTTAAAGCAGATTTACAAATTTGCAGTTTTAAGCATTTTTCAGATCTAGAAAGAACATAGATCATAGATAAATCAAAGTGCTGGTGGCCCCTCTGAAGTTTCACATGAATGTTTAATATGAAAATTTTACTTTCATCGATTTATAAAAAATCAGAGTGAAAATTAAGTTTGTCTAAAGATAATGTTGTAGATTTAAATGATGCATTTTTTAAAGGAATAGTATTTTTATCGTAAACAACAGAGGAACAGCTTGTCAAAACGAAATGCAACGTACAACTTACCTGTCCGGTAAATCTGGGGCAAAGCGTTTTTCTCGAAAAGTAATGATCGAGTGCACTAAGCAGAAATTGTGACTCAACTGTTTATGGAGACTCAAATATGTTAATCAATCGAATTTCTAAATTCAATTTGGACTTATCCAACTTTGCTTTTAACAAAGATGAAACGTGACACTGATTTAGACACTACTTATCATCGCGCCGTAGGGTGATATAAAACTTAACATAAAATCTCATAATTTGTTTCTTTATGCATATAACTATTTGAGAATTGCTCTCTATATTCATAAAGATGTTCTAAAGATTAGTGAAATTTCATAACGCAGTGATTATTATTTTTCAAACTAGACAATTTTTCCTCGATTTTACCGGACAACCCTTGTACATGGTAATAGTTCAATTTTGCATATCCGTTGTGATTGAAATAAAATCTAGATCTTTTATGTCTTATCTGTCAGGGGAAAACCTTGAAAAAAAAGAAGATGCTAAGGAGTTGCCAAGTGGTTCTAAAAACAGTCTATTAGCTCTGTGCGATACTTTGGAACCTCAGCCCGATGGCATACAGAAAACGGAGAGTGATCGAGAACCTCATGAAAAAGGTTTATATATTTTTCATATCAGGATAATCATGGATGAAATGTTTATGTCATCTTAGTCTCACAAAAAAACCATCTTTGATAGATATTAATCTATAAAATAATTAAAACATGATTTTACAAACATTATAATTATGATACTTTTCGTGCAAGGTGACATTTGCTAATAAAGTCTTATAAATTATTTAAAATATTTTCTAACAAGTTTTCCCCGCTCGAAGGAGAGGGGTTTACTGCTTTAATCTTATATGTATGTTTGTCTTTCTTTCTGTCCTTCCGTTTTTTTCTGTCCGTGTGTCGATCCATGTGTCTGGTCGTAACAAATTTTGGCCGCAGTTTTCTCAGCAACTACTCATGAGAGATGCCTGAGATTTGAATTCATTTTTGTTGAGATATGCCATATGGAAGGATTTATTTTTGTACGTATTCGGTGTTTAATTCCTGTTTATCCCTGCGCCTTTCCCTGCCAGACATAACAATTTTTGTCGCAGTTTTCTTAGTAACTACTTATCACAGGTCGATACTTCAAATGTTAGGACACTGTATCTAGAGTAAAAAGAAAACAGCGCTCGCCGGTATTTAAAGTCTTACTCAAAGATTATGGCTTTTGTCTAGATCCCTTCGACTTTTGATGTAACATAGTCAACACACTAGGAAGCATCTGATTGATAATTTGAAATTGAGGTCAGACGAGACGTTCCTCAAAGTTTGTTTTGTAAATCTTAGTAATTTATGAAAAATATTCAAAATTTTTATAACATTCTGATTTCTAAACCAGTTTCTCAACGTTTTTAAGAAATCCAAAAACTAAAACATTTGAAATTGGAAAATTATTTTCCTTCCCAAAAGGATTATATAAGAAAAACTGCCCCTGGTATCTTTCAGAAAAGCCTGGTAAGGTACCTCCAATCTTTGTGAGTAAACATATTTAAGTAGCAATACCTCAATAACAGTTTCTTAGAAAAATTTATCTACTATTAAGGAACGTCTCATCTGTCCTTGCATTTTATTAATTGGGTCAAGGAAATGTCTAATCCAATTTCTTTGAAATATGAGATAACGATTACAAATCAGGCTCAAATGTCCTTAGTACTAATACGTATTCGGGTCAGAAAAAAATACAGGCATAAATTTTTAATATTGAATGTTGAGACATATCAAAATAATATATTGTCTATGGAATTTTTGTTTCCACAGTCGTGAAAATTAGCTCACAGCGGGCGTGACCGTTTGCAAGTAAATGCTTACTTCTCCATGGCAGCTTTTATAACTGCTGATGTTTAAGAGATCTGCGTGTAAGCTCTGGTCTAATTACATATTGATTCAACGGACTCTTGAGTTTGAGTATTGTTTTTTTTCTTGATATTCCATTCTTATCAGGATTTTATAAAGGGATTGGTTAAATTTTTCATTGCAGAGAAAAACTGTGGTTCGTCTGATACGACTTTCAACACAAAACTTAAACAGCTCAAAGAAAACGGGGAGTTTGAAAGTAGAATTCAAAGACTTAAAAATCATCTTAATATTGAGACTTATCTACAATCAGAAAGAGGATATAACATAAAAAGCAATAATTTTATGGAAACAATTCATAGAGTGGATTACCTCGATTGTTCAGGTCTTTATTTTAGTAAAGCTGAAAAACAGAGTAAAAATTTTAAGCAATTATCTCAATCCGGGGTTGAGGATTTCTTAGGATGGATGGCAGACTGTGACAAAGTCTTCAGAAAGACACAATCTCTAAAATGTCGACTCATTTTATCTAATCTATTTCTTGCATATACAAAAGAAAAATTTTTAAAGTTTAAATCAATAGATTTTTCATTCATTCATCGATGTCTGAATTTCGCTATTGAACATCAAAATCACATATTGATTTTAGAGGTTGTGAAGTGGAAAATATTTGATTTTGATTTCCATTTACATAAACTGTTTAAAGATAAGAAAATACCTTTTGTTGTTTTGGACACGTTCTTGAGCACTGCAAAAAGTATGATTTTAAGAAAATGTCCAAGACTTCGGCAAAATGCATTTAGACTATCATTCTGTTGTGAATGCAGTCAGGAAGAAAGACTTGTAATTTTGATGTTATACAAAGGTAGCAAAGAAATGAAAGATGGAATTCCAGAAAAAGCAATAGGGGTTGACCTTGTGCTTATTAACTATACGCAACCATCTGATGAGGCATCTACTGTCCTTAGGTCCATTTCAGCTCCTCGTTTATCTCGCAACTTGCCTGTTATTACAGAAAACTACGCACGAAAGCTTTTCAAGAAACATTCTAATCTCACTCTCATATCAGCATCTCCATATAAATCATCAGGATATTTAAAAGGAAAACACATTATTGTTGAAAAACACTGCATAAGTCTATTGTGTTTACATAAAGGCTACATTCCTTTTGGAGAACGAGAGTTTCCTAAACAAATCAATGGTTTCGAAGTAGATGTACAGGAGGGCTACTGTACCTTGGGAAGTGGTAGATCTATAGACGTTGGTGGACACATTCGTCGTGCTAGAGGAATAAACACTCCTGGACATGGAAGTATCGGGGGCTTTGTTGATTTGTCAAATGGTTCTGTTGGGTTAATTACGTGTGCTCATGTTGTATTTTCAACAGATGAATTGTTTAAAGCGAATTCTGAAATTGAGGACTATGTTCTTTGCAGAAATACAGATTTGAATGTTGAGTTTTTTGATAGAAATGAACATAATTTTGAAGTGTGTGGTAATATCGTGAAAAAATGTTTTCCATCATCAGTTGATGACATTTCAGTAGACGCTGCTTTGATAGAACTTGACCAATCTGTGAACGAATTTGGATTTCCTGTGGTACTAGCTGATCAACTTTATCTTGCAGGTAAGCTTAAAAATTAACCTAACGAAAAACAAACCCAATTCTAGTCAATATTCGGCCGTGGTCTGCTAGGCTGGTTCTGGGCAACCAAGACAATGTTGTAAGCATGACACACATCCTAACAAGAAAAAAAACCTAACCTAACCAAGATTCTAACAGGGTCTGCTACGGCTAGCCCTGGGCATACAAGAGTGCGTCTCGTATGGATCAAACGCAAACATCGAAAGCAATTTAAAAAAAAAAATTAAAATGTAACCGGAAAGTGAAATTCGGACTCGATTTTACATAACTGAGCTGTTAGTTTGATTGGGTATATACATATTTAAATATGATTAAATTTTACAATGAAAGAACAGTCACTACCTATTTTTACATCTAAGGTTTGACGCGGCGTCGGAAAGGAATATCGAACCCGGGCCTCCCGATCACGAAATCCTGAAAAGGAAGGGGACAAACAAATGTTTGTTAAAGTTTTCCTACACGGTGAACTTTAGAATATGTTTTATTGATTTAAAGAAAACTATTTCTCTTTATATTCCAGGTTTTGAACCTAATAAGCCACCGGTATTCACAGGGGAGGTTGTTAGTTTTCCAGATCCTGAGACTGAAAGACATAGATCGTCAGATGTTTCACAGAGAAGTGGAATCCCAGGCAGATTAAACAGCGTCATAAAATATGGAAGTCAAACAAGATTCACAATTGGAAATTTTTACTTTGATCGAGTGCATATTCGCTTTCTGAATAATACTTTAGATTTGCCGGGACGAAACGGCTTTGCTACAATGTACAATCAAATAGAAATACAAAGCCTACCCCATGGGACATTTTTTGAAGCTGGTGATTCGGGGGCCTTTGTGTTTTGTATCAATGTAGACAAGACACTGAGCTGTCTTGGGATGGCGATAGGTTCCAGCACTAGGGGATCCTGTCTCGTGACACCAATGACTAGAATTTTAGATTCTTTTAGTCTTCCTCATAGTTTGAAGCCATGTTCTGCGTTTAACCCCACAAACACCTCACAAGGGTCACAGTCAGAACAGCAAAATAATGCCTCAGCTGGTGTTGATTTAGGTACAATTCTGTTGAATTTGCAAACTTCAATAACAAACATACAAACAGAACTTGGAAACTTTAGATCAGAAGTTCAATCAGAAGTTGGGAATCTTAGTGCACAAGTTCAAGAAATTAAAGATAGATTCCAAACAAAGTTACCTGGGAGCTCCGATAATACTAATAAAAAATGATTTTTAATGTTTATTTTTTGATATCGTTTTGTTCTCAACTGTGTAGAAAGTATATGAGCACTTTTTTTTATTTATTGACTATTGTGAATTGATATGATATATAGATGTTTTTTATTTTATGCAAACTTAGTATTTGAACTAACATTGAATCCTCCATAATCTGTGTCCCTGCGTGATTTTTTGATCAATGAAACGTTCGGATTGTTTGCGTCCGATTTTGAAAAGCTGCACTGTTAATTCCTTTTGGGTTATCAACGTACAATTTATATTTTGTCTTTGTTTGATTTTTTGTGTCATATCAGAGTTCAGTGAAACCCGACCTTTACCACCGGTGTCTTATAGATTTAATATATGTACACAAAGGTCAAGGACATATACTCTTTAAAAAAAGTAACGCATAATAGGAACAATGCCCTAAAAATGTATAATAGTTTTGACATACCTTTTATTTTTATATGGATGGATATGGAAATAACGAACAGTATTCAATCTCAACGTCCATTAAACAAATTTACAAAATAAGAGCAGAGCAAACACGGACCTCTGAAACAGAGGTGGGATCAGGTGCCATGGAGGAGTGAGCATCCCCTGCCGACCGGTCACACCCGCCGTGTGCTCGTTGTCATAATCAGGAACTAACGGAAAAAATCCGTGGTCAATTCAGTGTATAAATAATGGACTAACAATGGGTATGAAAAACGTCAGTCAGCATTTCATTCAATGATAAATTGTATTTGCTGACAAGGTCATTGTATCGACCATAGAATTTACGAAATGATGACTTTAAACGAGACTGTTGATATTCTTGTTTCATCAACTTGCTTGTCAATAATTTACCTCGTTTAAGAAATTGTTCATACGTAGAGCATGCTCTTGCGTATCGAATCAACTGAGATATAAATACTCCGTATGCAGGTGATGAAGGTATATTGCTGCATAAGTAAGGGAAGTTGACGATCGAAAAGTTTAAGTCATCACGTTTATCATATAGCTTGGTTGTTAGATTACCATTAGTGTCTTTTTCAAGTAAAATATCCAAGTATGAAGCAGAAGTGTCGACTCTGTGGTATCTTTTATCTCAAGCTCACCAGGATATATCGTGTCGACGTAGGAATGGAAATTATCATTATTAATTGACAATACGTCGTCGATATATCTAAATGTCGAGTTGAAGGCCACAGCAAGTGTTTTCTTCTTATCACGTAAAAGATTTGCATAAATTCTGCTTCATATGAATATAAAAAAGGTCTGCCAATAACGGAGCGCAATTTGTACCCATGGGTATTCCAAAAGATTGTTGGAATACCTGGTCTCCAAAAACCACATAGATATTGTCAATCAGAAACTCAAGCATCTTCTTGATGTCAACTTCAGAGTACTTATGTGTGCAATCAGAATCTGTTTTAACAAAATAATTTTTCAATTGACCAATGACGAGGTAAGTAAACTTACGAGTTCCATTTTTGTTGAAGAAGCAGCTGTCAATGATATCAAAAAGCCTGGATTTTAATTTGTCGTGGGGAATTGTTGTGTATAAAGTTGGATATGATGTATTCTAGTGAAATGCCTGATTTTTTAATGCAATTGTTAACTTTGCAGCTGTTTTTCAAGTCTCACAGACAAAAAGAGCTGATTTTGCAAAATTTCCCCCAAAATTTTGATCACAATTTTCATTTTTTTGAATTCCGATGCAATTCCTTCTGGTACAAAAGGGCTATCAAAAGCAGGGGTTCTCGATATGTTGAATCTGGTTTTATCTGAAAATGACACTTCCTAAAAATGCTGCATCTGAATGTTGCATAGCACAATTTAGATAGAATTCCTGTTGCTTACCACATTTGTGTTTTATCAATGCATCATTCTACTATATAATCCTTATGTTCAATGTGCAACAAAAATTCTGCTTTGCGTTTCTTTTTTTTTTCTTTTTTTTTTTTTTTTTTGAAGAGTACATATGGCAGTACTCATTTTCACCATGAATTACCATAAAATGTAACTGTCCTGTTTTCAAAGATAATGATCAATCTGATTAAAATCAGATCCTTTGGTACGTATATATTTTAGGCAATATTTATTTACGTTTCTAAGCCATGATTAAAAGCACTTTAGTGTTTTGCTAACTTAAATGATTTCTACATTCTGTTTTGAATATATTATCCTGAATAAATTTATATTACAGCTTATTTGTTGTTTGTAACTACAGGAGAAGAACTTGTAAGTTGTAAGAACTTGTTTCTGATCCTTTTGTGTTTAACAATAAAATATGTTCAAATCAAACTAGCAATTTTAAACAAAAAGGAAATTGGGCGGCTGGAAGCAGAGGTACCGCAATCTACAATTGCAAGTGGTTTTAATGTGACGCATAACGTCATATCTAACCAATCAAATATAAACCAATAACATCGAACGCCCAATGTACGCCAAAAATATGGAAGACTACGTGTGACATCAGCAGCTCAGCATCACTTCAGATTATTATGTAAATTGCATGAATGTAATGCAATGACGTCATCTAAAGCATTAGCTATCCCTGAATTGCACAGATGCGAATCTTTGTAACTACAGTGTATGCACTAAAATCAGTGTACCGAATTACATTTACGTGAATTATATGACGTCACGTCAGAAAAATGATAAAAAGTGTAAATCACGTGCAACTTGATTACAACAAGTTTATGAACGGTCATTTTGCACCGTTAAATGCACTTCAAGGATACAAACTGATTTTCAGTTTTTGTGGAAGTAACGCATTTCTTCAAATCTTGTAAATATTGAAAAAAATTCCAAGGGGTCCGGTTTTTACTTTGACTAAGTAAGGACTAAGACAACAACAGCTTGCTTTGCAGTCGCTTGTAAATTTTCACCCATACAACGTCTAAAACGAGAGAGGGCCTTGAATGGTTTTGAATTGACTGTGACGGTGGCATTGACTAGTAACAGAGCTACTTCAAGATAGGGTTTTGTCCCGCCACTTTTTTTAATCGCCACTGTGCTACCACAAAACTGATATTATTAGAGTAGGTTATCATAATCATTACATACACAATAAAACTGAAAGAAACCGATTGCGCAGATTTGGATCTTTGAGCTGGTCAAGTTTACGTTGGAGTTCCTCTCACTAGCGAATGCACGTACCGTTTGACTAATTTTCGGCGTGCTTACGTTTGACCCATTGTAGACCGGGTTTATCAATACTTTCTGCAAACATATTTACCCACTCGACTACGCTCCCTATATGCCATCTTTTTCTTATTAAGCATCTGTGGGACCGAGTAAAAAGTTTTTGAAATGCCGAAGATGGTCCAATTGAATTAAGGGTTATCTTGTTGCAAAAGTTGAAGAAATATTCTTTGTAGGATACCCAATGATGAAATTCACGCAAAGGAGAATCAAGACTGCAACAGATGCACAAAGGAGAAATTGAAGATAATTAGAAATTTCTGCTCAAGTACAATATAAGACGAAAATTGTTCAAATTTCTTTTCTCGTAGGAATATATATTTTTGCATATTCATTTATATTCATAAATGTGCAAAATTAGCATATTTTGCATATGAATCAAATGTAAATATTAATGAATATGTGGGTCATTATTGGTAAATAAGTTATATAAACCAATTGCATTCTATATTGTCAAGCAATTATTATATAAAATGGAATACAAATTTACAAAACAAGATATGTGTCTTGCATATGATTTTATTTAATTTATTAATGAATGTAATGTGTATGTAGAATAGGTCGACAGGTAGACAGGTCAACAGGTTGACAGATTAACAGGTAGACAGGTCGAAAGGTATGCATCAATAATACTGTGAAGTTTGAAAGTAAATTTGTTAATACGTGTGCTTTTATATCTGGTTGACAGGTTGACAACATTATTCAGACGTTTTTTGAGTTGACAATAAGACGTGTTGACAATTTGTTTTTTTAGCTCATTTACAGTAAAATGAGTCAGCATAATACACATTGTTTAGATAATTTGTTTTCATGACAAAATTGAGGCTATTTTATATGAATTTACTTACCATCATAGGTTTGGATTGTCAAATGCAGATGTTTCCATCAAATTGTTGTTAGACATTGCGCATATAAAATTAGAATAAAAATTAAACTTAAAAGGCTACCTATTGACCTGTCAAACCTGTCAAATTGTTGTTCTTTATTAAAACTGTTGACATGTGATCCTGTCTACCTGTCGACCTGTCGACTTGTCAGCCTGTGGATCTGTAAAATTGTTGTTCAGAAATAAAAAAAAAATTGTTATTTTACATGTATCCTTGGTTTTTATTATCCTAAATCATTTTAATAAAAGTGTTTGCTAATATTTATTAAAAAGTAATTTGCAATTAACGTTTTGTACATAAATTTATATTACAATATAATTGATATGATTATACATGATTATTTATGATCTTACAAAAATAATAAAAGATTGATTTACTGCAGTTTATGTGGATGGGACTATTTTCGTCTTATTTTGTACTACATGTACACCCGAATTTTGAATATTTACTTTAAGGGGTTATTAACATATCGGTTTCAATAGATTAAGAATTATGGGTAAAAGTCAAATGGAATTTTTGTTACATTTCAATTAAAGATGATTTCAAACGATAGGAATACCTAAGGAAAATTAAAATTATTTCACCTCTAAAGTATACCATGTGTTTGTTTTTCCTTTGAGTAAATGTAATATATCAATACGATAAGCCGAATCATTTTGTGTAATATAACGCAGTGAGAAGTGTGAACTTCCCCTTATTCCACTAGTCTTTAATCATTTTAAGAGGTTCCCAATAAGCAAACGCATTATGCTAGAAAAAGACATACTACCTCGAGATTTTAACCAAGGAAAGACGGCTTTTTGTTCTTTGATTTGAGGGGTAAATCACGGCTGAAGGAACATTAGGGAAACGTTAACATTGTTGCCTATGGGAACACAATTAATGGATTGTACCCCTGTTCATGATAAAGAGATTCATATTGATTCGAACAATATGTAGAAAACGATCTTTAACATATATTTTT